TAGCCTTTTAGATTTACTCTTAAAATTATTATTTATTAATTTTTCTTTTAAATTCAGTCTGATCAACTTTCATGTTTAACTGGCTCAAGTACTAGGCGGGCCTATACAGTTACCGCTATTAGATTACAAATAGATAAAGCAGTTCGTTTAATTCCTGATGCTCGATTTGAGTATAGAGCTGATCCAATTATAATTGATATACAGCCTAGAACAGCCCCTGAAGGTGGAGGGAGGAATTTAACGGTAATATATTTAAAGTATTTTGAAATTCCTAATTCTTTTCTTCAGATATTTGGCAATAATTTCGATTCAATCATTTCACCAAAAATTTTTCTTCTTTCACCTCCAATTGTTTCAAATGCCTCTCCTGATGAATGGGAATTAGTTAGTGAACTTGGAACTTGTATATTAATAAATAAAACACAAATGATTTGTTCAAGTCCTCGTCTTGCTTTACCTACAGCTTTATTAAGACATTCACAAATGGCTAGATGGAATATTGGTTTTGCTATGGATGGTGTACAAAATGTTAGAAATCTTGGAGATAAAATACAGGTAATGAAATTTTTAAATTTAGAATAAAAATAATTTTTGGGAATGAGAGATAAAAAAGGAACACGAAAAATAAGGAATGCCTAATAAATTTTTAATTATTAAGAAAAATATTTATAGTTAACAACAGTTCCTGACCCTCAATTCTCCCCTTTTATTGGTGTGCAACAACTTCAATATGATCAGCCACTTCAATTATCTGGACAATGGTTAAGTCAGGCAGCTAATCCTGATGAGTATTATGTTACTATTGGAATGGAGCGTTGTTCAGTAAGTTTGGAATTTTTATTTAGACTCAAAAGATTTCAAATTTCAAGGTATTTCTTCTCGAACCAGACCATCTTCTTTGTCGTCTACCCTCCCATCGTCCATTACCAACAGACGATTCTGGTGCAGAAATGGCCGATGGACGTCCTTTGGTTGTTGTTCGCGTTGGCCGTGTACGGGTTGAACTTGGCCCATTAGACTATTTGGGGGGAGATTCAACAGAAAATTCGTTGGATTCTGGAGGAATTGCTGCACGACTTCTTCCCCGTCAAAAAGCTGCCGCAGCTGCAATTTTGGCAGCTATAGCATGTGCCTTACTTGCAATTGGAACGGTAACAGCAGCACTTTTGGGTTGGAGAAGACGACGTTGTCAAGGTGTAGAACATGAAAGGTCTTATAAACGTATACAATTACAAATGGAACAAATGGAAAGTCAAGTACGGCAAGAATGCAAACAAGTAGGGTATTTTAAGTGTAAATTATTATTTTTTAATTGAGAATTTAGTATTCTTTCATTCTTTTCAAGGCATTTGCTGAACTCCAAACAGATGTTCTTTCTGAATTAGACACTGTAATAGAAAATGGAAAATCGTCTACTTTACTTAATTTTGATGACAATCCTTCAAATTATGACAATAATGGAACTTCAAATAAGAAAACAATGCAAACCCCAACAACAAATAATTTGTTAATTCAACCACCAATTTTGTCTCGTTCAGAATTTATTTCTCGATTACTTTTTAAAGGAGAGACTTTTCCAACATTTTTGGGTGTCCAAACATTACAACAGCCATCACCTGTTGCTTTTGCACAATTTGAATCTTTATTACAAAATAGATCTTTCCTTTATGTTCTTGTACAAATGGCTGAGGAAGATAATAATATGGGGTGATTTTGTTTTTGAAAGTTTTTTTCACTCACATATCCTTTGAAAATATCTTTTATTAAAGACACAATACATATTTTCAATTAAAATTCTTTAAAAATATTTTAATAAAAAATTTTTTCAGAGCGTCAGAACGTTCAATGCTCGCTTCTCTTCTTTTAGTAACTTTAGGCCGTGATTGGGCATTTCTTTCTGATGTTGTACTTTCTTTACTTTCTGCACATATTCAACGTTGTTGTCTTTTACAAAACCAAAATAATGTAAAAAAAATTTTTTACAAAATTTTATTTCTTCTTAATTTTAATTTCAGCAGCCTCCACTTTTATTTCGTCATTCAGAATCTTTGGTTGAAAAACTTTTTCAGCATTGGCTTTGCATTTCTTTACTTCCATGGCTACAAAGTGAAGAAGGAGGACCTGCTAGACCTCTCTTTCTTCTTTATAGGGCACTTAAAGCCCTCACAGAAAAGGCAAAAAATATAAAAATATTTCAACAAATTTTTATTTTTTAGGGCCCAGTTGATGCTATAACAGGCCAATCTCGTTATTCAATTGCTGAACAATCTTTACTAAGAGAACCTTTGGAGGCAAAAACTTTAAATTTATTTGTTATTCCTTTGGATGAAACAGAAAGTTCTCAAGAATTGTTAATTCCTTCTAGTCCTGTCCAATTTCGAGTTCTTGATTGTGATACTATTGGACAGACTAAGGCAAAATTGTTAGATGCTCTTTATTCTAAAAATGTGGCTTTGCCTTTTTCACAAAGGCGTTTATTTGTTGAACATTTTGATTTGGGTAATTTTTATCCAAAATTCTAAAAAATAATTTATTTATTAGAATGGCGTTGCCCCCGTCGTGGTCCTATTATTCTACTTGACGATGAAGAAACAAAAACATCAGTCAGAGGAAGGGAACCTAAACGTTTAAATACTTTGGCTTACTATGGAGTACCTGATAGATCACTTTTGTATATGCAATGGAGAATAGTTCCCCCTCCTATTGTACACTCTCAACAACAACATACATTCCGTAGCGGGTAAATTCGAATATTTTGAATAAACTTGCTTAGAATTAATTTTTTGTATAAGAGAGACTTTCAAATATTTACCTAAAAATTTATTAAATTATCCAAAAAAAAGGTCAAGTGATCATTCAACACTTGGTGGATGGAGAAGTTCTGCCAATCAACTTTTATTATCTGCTTCATCAACATCATCTTCTGCTTCAAATGATTCCCCACATATTTTTACTTCTTTACAAAATTTTGCAAATAATAATAAAATATTACAACCTCATTATTTCCATCTTTCCACACAAATAACAAAAACAAATAATTTATTAAATGAAAATAAAGAAAAGTAATTAATTCACTTAATATTTAAAAAAAATAATTTCTAAAAAATTTTTTTAAGAAATCAAAAGAAAAATAAAACACGACATAAATTATCCAACAACAAAAATATTCTTTCAACTAAAAATATTGAAAAATCCCCGCCTCCTCCAGAAGTTTTATTAACTCGACTTTTAATGTGTAAAGGAGCACTTCAACGCTTCTTTGAAACATTTTTTGAACAAGCTATTCTACTTTCTTCTTCAAATATAGAACAACAACAACAACAAATACCTGTTGTTTTAAAATATGTTTTTGATTTTTTGGATATTCAAGCAGCTCAGAGTCAAGTAAAAAAATAAATTTTTTTGGAAAATTATTTTAAATTGAAAATTTTGTTTGGAAGGACCCGATAATTCTTTACCCAATAATTCTTAGCTTTTAAAAATTAAATTTAAAAAAATTCAAAATTTATTTTTAATTTAAAAAAAGGTTCCAATCAGCGAAGAAACCCTCCACGCATGGAAATCTAATTGTTGGGTTCTTCGTTTTTGGCAACAATTAATTCAATCTCCTTCACTTCTTTTTGATGTCCCTGAAAGGCAACAAACACTTGCTGGTTCTCTTGCTGTTTTAGGGCAAACGATTGTTGATATATTTTCTTTATCTGAATTGAAATTAGGCAAAGAAAGTCCTTCTTGTAAATTATTATTTGCACCTGAAATTGCTCGGTAAAAATTAAAAAAAACATTAAAAGTAAAGGGCTAATATTTAAAAATATACTAAATTTATTTACTTAAATTTCTTCTAATTTATTTTTAAAATTTAATTTTTATTTTTCAAGTTATCGTCCATTATCAATTCAATTAATTAAAAGAATACAACAACAACCCCCAATTTCTCCCCAATATTTTTATGAATATTTATCAACATTAAATGAAGACAATAAATCTATTGGTCTATCACCCTCTGTTGCTTTAAAAGAATTATTTGGATGGGCTAAAGCTAATGGAATTAAATTAATTGAATGTTTAGAAAATAATTTGGAAGCTAAACAACAAAGATTGGGTGAACGTTTAAAACAATGTGTTGCTGCTAGTTTGGGAGGAAATAAAAAAGAAAATGGAAATATTAATAGAACAATTACTATATCCCCAACATATTATGAAGAAAATGTTTATGCTACCTTAAATTAATTATTGTTTTTTGAATTTAAAGTTGAATCCCCGGTTATAGTGCTGAAGGGGCCAGGCTGGGCCTATTCAAAATGTATGAAGTTTCTGATATGACATGTTATATCTATATTATATGTAAAGTTTCTGTTCAAATTATATCATATGAAAAATATGCGGCCGTTATATGGCATGTCATATCAGAAGCTTCATACAATTTGAATAGGCCGCTGGAAAGGGCCGCCATCTTCGGGAAACTATAGCCGTATTTGACAGAATATTTTTTATTTAATTAGGAATCGGAATTACTAAAATTCATTCAAAACTTTTAGGAAAATAATTATTTACATTTTCCGATTCCTAAAAGGAAATACACACATTCTTTATTTGTTAACGGGTATTTTTAAATATTTTATTTTTATTTACTATAAGCAAAATTGGATATTCTGGAGTCTTTTGGGTCTTATCTTTAGAAAAAGATTTAAAAAAACTTGCTTATGGTTAACTAAAAATAATTTAAACAACATAATCATTATTTTATTAACTTTCTTTAAAAATTAATATTAATAAATATATTATAGGTATACCTATGTATTATTTTTTAAATTAATTTTTATTTGAATAAAATTATAAAAAACATATTTACATTAAATTTTTATAATAAAAAATATTTAAAATAAATTTTTTCTTTGAGACTCATTCTATAAAATTGTTCCTCTCATTTTTTGATTCATCTTTAAAATAAATAAATTTAAAAGGGGAATTCTTTCCCTTAATTTTTAAATTTCCAAAAATTACCCACCCTTTTTAACATTTCTTGGTTTCATAATTAAATAATTAGAAGAAGATGAAGACCCTTCTTCAGAAGACAAATCATCTCTATTTAAATTATCTATTCTAAATGCCGGTCCAAATCTTTTTTCTCTCAATTTAATTCCATTAACTACACCAACTAATCCACCAGAATTTCTTTGTGATAATGCACACATTGCACAAACAATTGATAAAACTATTACACTAACTATTAAAACAGAAAGAAACCAAGCGGCACTTCGAATACGTTCTGAAAAAAATATTTTTTAAATTAAAGATTTTCTAAAAGAGGGAAAATAAGTTCAATAATAGGAAGGGTTTGATAAATTAATAGTGATATAATAAGGTTGGACAACTTCGGGTCTTTCACTTTTCCAATTAAAAATTTTTTTATTAAAAATTATCTACCTTTATTAAACAAAGAAATCATTTTATAATTTTCAGTTTTAATTGTTAAAGGTTTTGAATGAGATAAAGAAGCACCAATTTCTCTAGAAATACCAATTATTATATAATCTGTATCTTCCTTAAGATTCTTCAATTCAAGTGAAGTTTGGGGTAAAGTAATCCATTCACTAAGTTTCCATTCATCATTAAAATCTTTAAATTATTTATATTTTATTTCTTTTATTAAATCTTGTGTAATTAACAGCAAAAATAATTTTTTCCTATAAAATAATTTTTTGGAAAACTCAAAAATCAGAAGTAAAAAAATAATTAGCCTTGTCTTGTGTAATTAACAGCAAAAGAAGTTCCACTCATTCTCATTCCCACACCAGAATTTATTGGCAACCAATTAATTAAAATTGAATTAATTAATTTTGTTTGTGTACGAACAGAAAATAAAGGGGAATCTGGACCTTAAAAGAAATTTTTTATTTAAATTTTTTTTTAATTTTCAAACTTCGAAAAGGCCAAGTTTTTGTATTTCGCCAAAGACGAGGTCCTTCCCCTCCACCAGTTTCTGCCCAAACAGAAATTCTATATGGAGTGTTTGGCTTTAATTGTTCGTGTAAATAAAATTGTTGACGATGCAAAACATAGGTTTCTTCAATATGGTCGGTAAGTCCGTCTGTTAATATGAAGATTAGACATAATTAGATAAGTCTTAAGACAAGAGTATTTTTCAATGAAAGGTAATCAACACATATTTAAATTGTAAGTTAATCTCAAAAATGTTTTGGTGCTAGTTAGGAGGGTTATCTACACAAGGGGGCGATTTTGAGATAAGAACCAGAACTGCGGATCTCAGATCCTATTAAAAATCACTTTGGAATGTAATAAAATATCCTCTTAAATTTCCGTTTGGATGTAATGGTGGTTGCCATGTAACAAGAACTGAACGAGAACCAACTGAATGAACACGTAAACTGTGAACTTTTGAAGGAACTGAATTAAAATATATTTATTTTTAATTAATTATTTAATTTACTTCCTTCAATTGTTTTAAATTCTAAAAGATTTGAAGGTTTACTTTCAAATCGGTTATTCAATAAATGTACTTTAGCTGTATAATATTGTAATGCTTCTAAACCTCCAATTAATTGGCTATTTGATGTTGAATAGAGAGAATGTACTATTATTGGGTGAATATTCATCCAATAATCAACCTTTGAAAATTTTGATATTTTCTTTGGAAATATTTATTTATAAGTAAAACAGTTTTGTTTATTTTCTGGTCATCCACATAGTATAATTTGATTAAAAACTAAATTTTCAACAAAAAAAGTTAGAGAGCACAGAGTAAGTTACTCTACTCATGTCAACACATTTGACTTTTAGGTATATGTCAGTTAGGTACATTTGAGTCCTGAATTCTAGGAGGGAATAATTATCAATTATTATTATTATTATAATAATTATTATTATTATTATAATAATTATCAATAACCATCCTTCAATACCCTTTCTCGTCTGAAATAAAATATATTGCGTGGATAACCAAAAAGATTAGATAATTTGTTATAATTTAAAAATTTAAGTCCTTTAATTTAATCAAAATTTTGAGAATTTTTAATTAAATATTTTTAAATTATTTTTCAATTTTAAATAAAATTAATTTACTCTATATCCTCGAAAATGACCTCTAATTGATCTAAAAGAATTTTATTAAATTTGCTTATATTTTCTATTTAATTTACCTATTTTCTATAGGTTCCCATTCTAACGTAACAAAAGAATAATTGTGATGCTCTGCTAAACGAAGATTTTTTGGTGATTCTGTTGGAACTTTAATAAATAAATATTTTTTAAATTACGTAAATAATTAACCATCTTCTCCAGACCATCCTTCAACAATTGTAGGTTCTAATGCAGAAAATCCCAAAGAATTAATTGCTCGAATTTGGACTTGATAAGGGCGAAATGTTGGTTGTTCTCGAATTATTGTTTGATTCTTTAAAAAGGAGAAAAAGATTATACCTATTTTTAATTTTGTTTTTGATTCTTTTCTCTATAAAAATAATTGACGATTCTTTAGGACCGAAAATTATTAAAATAAAAATTTTGCGGTCTCCTTGATTCGTTATTTTAAAAATATTTCTAACATTTAATTATAAAAAAAAATATTTCTAACATTTAATTATACCTAATTATTTTCCAAACTTACAGCAAAAGGATCTTCTACAATAAATTCATTCCAGTCACCATCTTTTGTGTCTAATCGTCTATATCTCACTAAATAACGTAATCCTGGAGCATTCCAACGATCACGCGGTAATGGCTGCCAACTAATAATTAAATTATCTGGCTCAGTTCCTTTAAAAAATATTTTTTAATGTTTTTTAATATATTATTAAAGTTACCAGCTGCTGTTACACCTAAAGGATTTTGGAAAGGAACATCCAGTGGGGAAGAGCATTCTAATGGTGAAGTGGGCATAGGTTGAGAAGGTTGGCTAGATCCATGAGAATTAACAGCAAACAATCGAAATGTGTAATTAGCCTTTAAAATTATTTTTTTAAATAATTTCTAAAGAATTTTTAAATTTAATAAGTATTTTTAAAAAATTTAATTTAATTGTTAGAAACCCAAGGTCTTAAAGGAATTGCTGTTTTGTGTAATATTCTAGGTCCAGTAGCCGTCTCTTCTTCTCCTCCCAAATATTCTTCGAAAACTTTTTCCCAATTCTCTGAATTTTGGTCGGTTTTCGCCTCCACAATAAATGCAGTTAAAGGTAGTTCATTATTTAAAATATTAATTGAAGGCCGTTTCCAAACAAGTAAGGCATGCCTTCCAGAAGAGCAATCTACACGCATTAATTCTGGCCTTTCTGGGACATCTTTTTGAAAACAAAAATTTATATTAAATAATATTCTTTAATGAAATAGAATCATATTTAATTAGATAGTCTCTTAAATTCCAAATTCCAATTATTTTTTGAGAGAAAATTTTACTCAACACACCTCTAACAAACAGATCTATCGCTGCAGACTTAACATCAACCTCAGTAACAGCTGAACACTCTAAATGTCCAGTATGGTGTCCACTTAAATGGAATAAACGAAGAATTGAAGTTCCATCTTCTCTAAAAAATTCGATTCTTTTTAAAAATTCCAAAAATATTACTCTATAATTATTTTATTATTTTCTTCATTTTTGATTGGACTTCCATTTTTAGTCCAAATATAATTAATACTTAAACGATTATCAGCAATTGCTTTACAACGTAATTCTAAATGATCAGAGTTTGGGGAATTTGCATCTAAGGTAATTCTTGAAGGTTGGGGTATTTCGGCAAAAAATGTTGGTGCTAAAATTAAATAAAATTAATAAATAAGTTATTTAAAGGGGAAATAAACTTAAAAATAAATTTAGAAATAAAAACTTACTAAAAACTTCCAATCTATTCAAAGCTCTATTTAACCCATATTTATTGCTAACATTACAATAATAAAAACCATCATCTGAACTACTCAATGAATGTAAACGAAGGGTAAAATTTGGAAATATCTTTTAAAACAAAGAAATATTTAAAAAAATATTTTTTAACCTCCAATTTTCCCGGAACAGGCAAAATATTTGTATCATTTGCTGTTAAAAAATATTAAAAGATAAAATATTTATAATTTACCATCAACCCATTGGACTTGCGCTATTGGGGCCGCCTCTACATCACAATTTAAATCAACACTAGAATCACGCAATACTTTCCAAACTCTTTGTGTACTATGACGAAAACGAGGAGAGAATGCTTAGAAAGCAAAATATTTTTACAAAATAATAATAAAATTTAGTTGAGTTTTAAAGGGTTAATTCAATTAAATAAAATATAAATATTCAAATTTTCCAATCTTTTAAAGAAAAAGTAGAGAAAAGATAACCACTTTTAAATTATTTTTAGAAACTTACCCAAAACATTTAAATAAGTAGAAGAATCCAAATAACCTCCAATATTTGTTGCATTACATTGATATAATCCAGTATCCAAATCTCTTTTTAAAGAATTAATTCTTAATAACCGGCCTTCATTTAATTGAATTCTTCGATTATTATAATCATCAGACAATTCTTTTTTTTAATTAATTAATTTATTTTTAAATATTTAATTACCATAAAAAGGAATTGAATTAAAAGACCAACGAATTATTGGGGATGGCCTCCCTCTTACTGGACAGTGTAAATCAACAGAAGAATCTTCTGGCATTTCTATAATTGCTGGAGGTTCCCATTCCCATTTTGGAGGAGCTAAAAAAATTAATTTTTGATCTTGAAAGTTTTTTTGAAAGTTATTTAGTAAATATTTTTGGGATTATCAAATTTTATAAAAAAATTTGTGAGGTACTTGATATATAGTGGGGTATTTATAGAAATACTTAAAATATTATTTAATTTAATTAATGAGGAGAGGAGTTAAAAAGATTTATTAAAAAATAATCTTTTAATTTTTATCAACTTACATTCAGATTTTATAATTTTAATTAAAAATATGAAGAAAAATATTAAATAATTAATTAATATATTTACTATTTCTTTCATTTAAATTATTAAATTAAAAATAGAAAATTTCTATTTTATAATACTTTAATTCTTTTTTAAATATTTTAGCTGACATTTTAGTACTAAAAAGAGTTTAATTTTTGTTTTCTTTAAAATTAGAAATCCGGAAGGATGTAGTGGATGGATGTTTAGAAAGAGAATTTTTAAAAATAAATTGGAGTAAATAAACACGAAAATATATTGAGATAATTTGAAATAAATATATTGAAGTTTAAAAAATTAATTTAAAGAAATTACGTAAATATTTTACTAATATGTTAATAGTTCGATAATTAAATTTGTTTTCATAAAATTGGCCTAAAGAAAATAAAATTATTCTTAAAAAGTAATTTAAACCAGACTGGTGGATGGATACAGATAATAACCGGACGGATATGGATACTGTTTTTTTAAAGTCGGACGGCTGGATACGGATAAGAGGCTCCAAATACGCGGATATTTCGGATAAGTTTTAAACAATAATTAAAATAAATTTTAAACTTCAAAAAATTGTTAGACAAAACAGGAGGTCAAAAAGACTAAAAATAATAAGAGAAAATAAACCCAACACAAAAAATCTTTTTTTGAATATTTATTTAGTCAATTTTTCTTTTACAGATTTTTAATGCTTTAAAAAAGCTGGCAACAAAATGATAAAAAGCAAAAGGCAATACTTGTATGTATTTATTTAGTATATATATTCAATCATCACGTTTTTAAAGGATTTGTGTTCACTTTTTAAATTCTCTTGGGAAAATAAATATATTTTTTTCTTGCTATTTCTACTAAAAGATATGCTAGAAAATCTTTATTTACTTGCTTCATTGGTTTATTAACTAAATTTAAAAAATAAAAAGATTTATCAACACCTTTTAAAGAATATTCCTTTCTCCATTATATGTATATTCGAGATAATTAAATGATTTTTTAAATTTATTTTTAATCCAATTAAAAATATTACTTCCAACTATTTTTTATCTTTTATTTAATAAATTTCCTCAACAAATATTCTCAGAAAATAAATTCTTTCCATAAATACTTTCCATCATTCCTCATTTCTTATTTAAATAATTCCCTCAACCCACCTTTTTAAAATATTTCTTCCTTCAATTATGACCCTCAAACGTTTAATTTCCTATACATACATATTTAAAAATATTTTTTTTCATAATTTTATCAGCTTTCCTCTTTCCTATATTCAACGAATTATTGGTGTTACGACACTGCGGAATTTAAAAAAAATTAAAATTTGTTGAAATAAGATCCTGTTTTTTAGCCCCGGCTATCAATTTCCGACTTCTGAAGGTTCCGAATCATTTAAAGACTGACGCGACACTGAAAACTTTAAAAAATCTTAAATTTTTTAAAATTGTATATCCGCAATTGCGCAATAGCCGAATCTGCAATTATGTACCGCCAATTTATTATTTTAAAATTATCATTTTTAATTTATCTAGAATATTTAAATAAATCTTATTTTTATTTCTTTTCTACAAAATGACTGAAAAAGGATCGTCAAATTCTGATTTAGAATTAAAAGTAATCTTTTAAATTAATTTAAAAATAAAATATTTAAGCTACACGAACAAAGCAATAATTTACTACAACTCCAAACAAATTTTAATAATCTTCAATTAAAATATATTGAAGAGAAAGAAAAAAATTTTAATCTTGAAAGGAAAAATGTTCTCCTTGAAAATAAATTAAAAGAATTGAATGAGGTTATTTTTTGGATTAATTTAAATTAAAAATATTTTTAATTTTAGAAAATTCAAAAAATTAATTTTGATAGTAATCAAAAAGACGAGAAAATAAATTCTTTGGAAGAAAAAATTAAAAATGTAAATTATTTTATTAAATTCATTTTAATTAGGGTAGCACACCGAACCTTCGGGGTGTGATCGTCGGGGATCGGGGTTTGTCGGGGTAGAGCCTTCGGGGTTTTTGCCTAAAAATTCATCTGGTTTCGGGGGACGGTTTTATTATTATTTAATAATTAAATAAAAGAATTAAATTATTAAATAAAATTGAATTAAAATTAAAAAATTTATATAAAAAGACAGACAAAAACATTGCTGACTTGCCAATTAACTCTGGAGAATTAAATATATTGGTTATTTTAAGAATTATTTTAAATAATTTTTGGTTTTCCTTTTTTAAGAATTTTGTAGAGACTAAAAATAAATGGAAAGTTTTAGATGATGAATATAAATGTTGTGAAAATAATTGTGTAAATACAGACAATCCTAAAGGTGTTTGTATTGAAGGGAATGGATTTGCTCATTTAATTAATGAAGAAAATATAAAATACATTAATTGTGTGGAAAAGTGGGGAGGATTGTTTGGATTTGGAAGGAAGAAAAGTAAATGTTAAATACCGTATTGTCTCTAATAGAGGCCCTGGGCGTCTATTTTTCAATACCCCTCATTGAGTGGGCTTCTAATAGGACATGGGCTTCTATTGGAAACGGGATTCTATTAGAAACAATACAATAAATATTAAAATAATTCTAAATGTTTTATATATTTTATTTTAGCTAAAGACCAATTTAGCCATATTTTTGCTGCAACTTCATTTAAAACCCCAAAAAATTCAATTAATTATTCTTTGTTTTATTTTGAGATTAAATGTAAAATTGAAAAAGAATTTGATAACTGGATGTTTATTGGACTTAAAAATAATAATGTTAATTGTATTGTACTATATTCAAGTAAAGCTTTAATTATTTGTGATGATAATATAAATGAAGTTAACGATATTGTTTGGAGGGATAATAGTATTTTTGGGTGTGGATTAGTATATCCACCACTAACAAATAAATCTGAAGAATTTCCATACATGTTTTTCACAAAAAACGGAAAACAAATTGGTTTGAAAGGAAAATAAAAACAAAAAAAATATTTTTTAAGGAAAAGCTAAATTGTTAAAGAAAAATAATGATTATTATCTACCATATGTTGCATTGAAATGTTGTTCTGTAGAAACTAATTTTGGGACTGATTTAAAGAAAAAACCCTTTGAATATGATGTTTCTAAGCATTTAATTATTACGGATTTTTATTAAAAAATTTTTTGGACGATTTAAATTATTTGGAAACGAATTTATAGTTATTTAAATTTAAATAAATATTTGGATTTTTTTAAATCTGACGCTGGTTATATTCGAGAATTTTAATTTTTTTTTGGATCTATTAGCCACACAAACTAAATGAATTTCCTATAATTATTAATTATATTTTTCTTAATATAATTTCTTCTTCCTTCTCCTTTGCTAACGGAAGTTTTTAAAAATAAATTAACCATTTTTGCAAAAATTAATTTTTCTCTCTCGAATCGATTTTATTAAAAAAATTAATTTGATCGGTGGCCTTTTTATTCGACCGATTAAACCAATTAAAGAAGATTTTTCAGCGTGTTTACATTGATAGATTGAAAATTTTTAATTTAAAAATTTATTTTATATTTTTATTTTTTTAAATAAAATATACAAAAATTCTGATTATCTACTAAAAATTGAAGTATAATTATTATTTTCACGTTTAATAACTTGTCTATTACACTATTCAAAGTATAATTTTAAATAATAATTAGCTAGTCCGTCCGCATACTTGTAATACTTAATTTATATAATATCCTCGTTAATTGTAACAATTTTATTTTTTAAACGAGTGGAGGAAAATTTTTTCTCATTTATATCGAGTTACTAGATTAATTTTTTAATTTATTATTTTTAATTACCTCAGTATTTGTGTTAGAATATTTTAAATATTAAATATTATACCTATTTAAATAAATTTTAAATTTAGATAATTAAATGTTATTTTATTTAAAATATTCAAAATTATTAATATTTTTATTTATTTTAACTATAAATAATATAGTAGAAAATAAAAAAGAAGAAATACCAATCTCTTTATTTTCATCATCTTCACCAATACTTTCATTAGTTAATGGTTTAACAGCTAATTTTCAATGTTCTATTAAAATTTGTAATAAATTAAATAATAATTTTTTGGTAAAAATTAATTTTGGAAAGAAAAAATAAAATTATTTTTTTGTAAAAAGATTTCTTGGCATCATGATGGAATTCTTTTATTTAATGGAACTGAATTTGAGCCAACTTCTGGTATTGAACCTTCACGTATTATTTTACAAAGATCTCTTGAAGAAATTAATAATGACGAGGAAATAAAAGGAGAAAAATGTTTTGTTGAGGTAAATTAGAAAAGGGGAACACCCCACGTACCGCAGAGCTATAACTTCGTTCAAAATTGTCGAAATATTGTCGATTCAGCTCGCCGAGGCATCAAATTTGCACGAAGTTATAGTTTCGATTGAATAATTCAACAAATTTTTAATGATTTGAAAGTTTATTTAAAACCAAAATGATATTAACTACCTAAGCTAAAACCCATTGTAGTTACCGTATTTCCTTTAATTAAATGCCAGGGCATTACATAATAAAGTGGCATTATTTTTACGCAATAGATTTAATAAGTGGCATTTAATATGAGCAATTGCGCTAATTATAAAAAAATATACAATTTAAATATTTAAGGCATATTCTCTTTTACTACGTAATCTAAGTTTGGAAGATAGTGGAAAATATGGCTGTCAATTGTGGACTCAAAATGGAGGTCAACAACAATTAGACTTTAAATTGGATGTATTGGGGGGTTAGAAAACTTTAATAAACTTCTTAAAAATAATTTCTTCAAAAAAAGATTCTGCATTAAAATTAAATTTCCCTGCAAATTTAACTTATGACCATACAGAATGTTGTATTGAAAAAGGAGTTTCTCCTTTATGTAGACCAATGTGTAGACCTAGAAATATTGGAGAAGAATTTTTTGATCCAACAAGTTGCCAAGTAGATGATTATAAAAAATTTTTGAATTGTGTGACAAATGGAGGTAAACGTGATTATTTGCCTTGTTGTAGAAAGAAAGCTTTGCCTCCATTTTGTTTTGATTTTTGTGGAAATAATTTTCAGGTAAATAAAATATTAAAGTCCCAAAAATTTGGTCCCACTGGATTCTTGATCACCAAGGATTTTTCGGAAAGTCTTCAATAATTAACCACTTTTTAAATTTTGATCACCGTGGGATTCTAATTCTTCTTAAAAGAACCTTCAACTCCTTATTAAGGTTGGCGGTTCCGGGTATCCGGAACCGAAAAAACCTCGGATATTCGGAAATTTTCGGTTCGGATACCGGTTCCGGATATCCGGAGATTTTCCAGGAACCGCTATTCTTACTCCTTAATACTCTCTTGTGAGTGAGAAAATTGGAAATAACGAGTTTATTTTCAAAACTTTGATTATGTTAAGTTGAAAAATATTTTAACCTATAAAAAAATATTTTTTATCAAGAAATTAGAGAAATCTCATCGACTTTGTCTCTACTATTTGCCTGAAATATTTGATTGTTTTAGTCAGCAATATGGTCAGAATTTATTTAAGATTTTATTTTCCTTTTTTATTGTCAAATGTGCTCACAGATTCTTCAATTAATTAAGCACTTTTTCCTCCGCCTGCACCAAAAAATTTACAAATTAAAGAAGTTGGCAGTGGAAATCGAAGATTTTGTTTTACAATTGAGAATCCACAAAATACAGGAAAAATCCCTTCTTTTGTTGTTCATCTACAAGAAATGAATGTTGGAACAGACACAATGTTAGTAGACATATTAAATTTTGACAAATCTTGGGAAATGTTTCGAAATATTTCTTTTATGCACAAATAACCCATCACATAAAACCCCGAATATTTTTAATTTAAGAATTTAAAATTCTAGAAATAGTAGAGATGCTGCAGTTGAAGAGTTTAGAAAACTTCGTAAAAGGAGTGAAAATAAATCTGAACAAATACTATATGGAGTCACATTAATTAAAGAATTGAGAGGAGGTGGAACTAAGCCTGTACTTATCACTAAAATTATTGCTTCTAGCAATGAAAGGGTAAAAAATGTCTAAAATATTAAAAATCTAAATTTTTCAAGGGAATTAATTCCGAAATTTGTATTCCCTTAGAAAGTATTACAAACAAATCAAAATCAACTTATTTAGTTTATGTAGAAGCTATTAATGATTATGGTACCTCAGAACCAAGCAAATCGTTTTTAATTACTGAGGAGGGTGTAATGCATCCAGCAAAGTAATTAAAGTCGAAAAATTATTTTTGGGTTTATTTTAAAGATTTTATCAAATTTGTTATAATAAATAAAATATTAAGAATATAATTAGTGCCAAATATTTTTTATAAACAATAAGATGAACATAAAAAGGCAAAAAAAGCAGGCAAATTTAATAAAAAGTAGAATAACATTTTTAAGGATTTTATTTCCCGGTTGACAATATTTACTTATTCCAATCTTTCTTTTCCGGAAAATAAATTTCTTACAAAAATTATTATGGCGAGGCAATTAAAAAAAAGTTTAAGTTATGCAGGGCAAGCAATAAAATGCGATTTTATAAAAAGAAAGAGCTAAGAGAAAATTGTTTAAATGCACATAAATAATTGGTAAAAAAGAAAATTCCTTACATTTCCCCTCTACTCTCCTAACTAGCCAAGACGTATAAATCGTTTACTTTTGTATTTATGTCGAGTTGACAAATCATTAAATAATTTAGAAGCATCAGGCAATCCACTTTTAAATTGCTGAAGACATTGATGGAAAGAAACTTCTTCCAAATTATTTTCTAATCGGGCAGACACACCCAAACGTCCTTGTTCAAAATATAATTGTGCAGATGTAGGATCAAGTCCACATCTTGTAGGTAATTGAATGCCCGATTGGTAAATTAGTGGTTCAAGCTCACGTTGCAATAATGGCCACATATCTTCAGCAATTAAATCTGAAAACATAAAATCTTAAATTAACTATTAAGGAATTAAAAAATAGGATATGATTGGGAAAAGAACCAAAAAGGAGGAAGAAACTTGTAATTGTAAATTTTTCTCGAATTAAAAAAAATCCCCTCCTCACCTTGTATTAATTGTTCAACAGCTCCATACAATTCTGAAGGGAAAGCACTTTCTTTTTGGACCTCTACTTTACGTTCCATAAGTTCCAAATGTGTACGGAAAATTCCATTTTGTATTTGAGGGACTAATTTAAGTTGAAGAAGCATTGAAAGATCAATTGCTGTTCGGCGTTTGCCAGAATGCCCCAAAGTTGGATTTAATACTGCAGCGGTTATTCGATTATTACTTAAAATTATTTAAATTATAAACTGATTTTGTTAAAATAAATTATGTCTCGGACAACAGACATAGGAAACTTCAAAAAGATACTAGGAGAGTCCATAAAAATTACATGCGTAAATTTCCATTTTCTGATTTAATGAGGAAAATTTATGGAAGTATTGTCAGAAATTCAATCAAATTTAAAAAATTAACCTTCTGATGATGATTGACTTATCTGCAAGAATTTGAACATTTGGAAGACCATTTGAACTTATATTGAAGAGGAAGAAACATTGCGGGCAAACAACCTTAAAAATTTAAAACTTTTTCAATTTAATTAAAAACCTCAAAAAAGTCGAGTGTTTCTTTTGGCAATCGAGGACTGTTTAATTGAATACTCTAAAAAATAAATTAAAAAAAAAATCAAACATATAAACAACAACTTCATTAATCCACTGAACATCCCACCGAAATTGTTTCAACAAATCATTAATTAATCGGTCCTCAATCCAAATTAAAATTGCTTCACTAACTGATGAAGAATTGAAGTCAGACAATGGAGAAGATTGCATTCTTTGAAAATAAAAAATAAACATAAAAAATTGGTCTAAAATGTTTATTTTTCCTTGTTTTTAATAATTAATTCACGATGATGGAATTTGGATACCTTTTCTTTTGTCAAGTAAAATTTTCAAGTAAAAAATATTTCTCACTTATGATCATCTTGTCGAGCTTTCTCCTCGCCGTTTCGCAATTTTTTAATTTCAGTTTCATTAAAATGTAAACTCTCAGTATCAACAAACGAAGTACGTTCAGTAGTTAGTACCTCATCAACTTTCCATTCCATAACGACCTTTGAAAATAATATAAAAATTAAAAATAAATTATAATTTCTTCAACCGTGACAGCAATTTGATTTGAAACTGCCTTAATTGAATTAATACGCGAGCGAAGAATAACTCGATCATTTTGTAAGTGACGAATAAACTTGTCAGGAATTAGCATTTTAAATGGTAATTCTCTTAAAAAAATTTTTTTAATAAAATTTTAAATAAAAATTTTATAAAAAATTTACATGCTAAACTCTCGTCGTAAATGCATAACAGCAACCTGTAGCATATCACAAACTTTATCTCTAATCATTCCACCAGATAAAGTCTTCCCAAAAGCATTAAAAACAGTATTTAAAAGATGAGTTCGCTCAACACCAAAGTTAACATTTTCTAATTTAATAGAACAATTTTCCATGAAAAGAGAGGCTGGATGTTCAACTCGAAGTTGAAGAAAGGCATGGTCAACCTGTTAAAGTTAATTCAGTTTTATCAAAAACCCAAAAATATTATATTCAAAAAATACCTCAACACCCACCACTACATTTTTGCGATCAAGAAAAAATAAAGGTAAAGAAGCATCATTTACAAGAGTTGAAGAGTTTAGACTTAAATGCCGAGCTTCCGCTTCAATAATTTTATCATTTGGAAAACGCACATTTAAGGAGCCTAAAAATATTTTTAAAAAATGTTTTATATCTTCTACCTATTGAAACGCTGTTCTTAGAGTTAAGTTTAGCAACATCATGAAACCAAACATCTTCGGCACTTCGCAATTTAAGTTTAATTAAATGTGGTGAACGAAGCTGATATTCCAAAGCACTACGAACCAACTAAAATTAATTTTTAATGTTAATTTTCCAAAACTCTCGCTAATCTGACTCTACAAGGTTTTAGCATTGGCAAACATTCGATGCGTAACAATAAATATAGAATACCAGGCCAGCATAAAAACCTTAAACATTTCTCACCTTTGTGGCAGCAGAATCACCAACAGACATTCCAATATCAGCATCATCCTTGTTTGGAAAATTGGCAGAGGAAACACAGAAGAGAAGTCCGAAAATGAGATTCGATAAAAGCATAATTCCAGATCCTAAATTTTAACAATTTTTAAGCAAACAATTCATTCTTAATTCAAAATTTATATATTAATTGTAAGTTAACGAACATAAAAAAACAACAAAAAATCCAAATATAAAATAATTTTATACTCGTATTTAAAAGAATGATTTCACTAAAAAATCATATAAAATGTAAATAATGCTCATTAAGAGAAGTCAAAATTAAAACTTTTCTAAAAAAATATAATAAAACATCAAAAATAGTCACGATTAAAATGTAAAATAAAAAAGTAAAATTTCATTTCTAAATGAATTTGTGAATGAAAAATGAATATTTAATAACCTCTTCCCCTGTATTTTACTTCTTGTTATTTCCATCACCCATTAAAAATCATTAGAATTTTAATAAATTCTATTTACATTTAAATTTTTAATAAACCGGAAAATTTTAGTAATCCATTTAACAAAGGTTATTCTATTTATTTGATATTTAATACATATTGTCAAATAATACCTAATTTATAATTAATCGTCTTGTTTAACATTATTCATCACATCATTACTTTTCTCCTCTTCTGGAATAACTGTAATACGATGATTCTGTTCTTCATTTATATTATTCGTAGCTGTTAACTGTTCTCCTTCCGTTTCCTCTTTTGTAACTAATGGAATACTAGCCGTTCTTTCTGTTAAAGTTTCAGAAGAAGACGATGGAAGCTGTGGAATTATATCCGTTGCTTTTGTCATTTCATCTTCTTGTGGTGCTGCAGACAATGTCGATGTCTCTCCAGTACTAATAGTTGTAGGTACTGTGAAGCTTGTCAATTCTCCGAATGAATATTGTTCACGAAGAGCAGCCAAGGCTTAAAAAAAGTAAAAATTTTCAATAAAACAGGATTATAAACATACCACTTGGCAATTGTAATTGTGAAAGTTTACGTCCTTCAATACTTAATGTGCGCTTACGCAATCCCATTTCTCCATGAGGCGAAGTTGGAGTCGAATAATATGCTTCCAACAAAGCATTGGAAAGGAGATTAGCAACCCCTCTGTCCATAAAGGCGCCAGAAATTCCAAAAAGAACATTCTAAAATTATTAAATTAATTTAAAAACAATTGCAATTTTCTTTTAAAAATACAGTTTTTGTTGGATATTCATAGCAGTCATCTTGTATAATTCTTTCAATACATTTCTTCATGTCACTAATTAATGAGTCAATAACCTCTCCACGTGTTTGATGAAGTGAAATACAAAAACGAAGAGCATTAGGATTCTTAAAAATTTAGTAAGATAAATCAAAGAATAAAACCTGTAAAAATGTAAAGCTCCAACCCAAATCATGCATCTCATCACCCAACGCATGTATCTTTATTTTTGAAGAATTTTTATTTGTAATCGCAATCACCGGGCCTAGAGGTTCTCCCAAAACCTCCAAATGGTCAGACATTTCTTCCTCAATTCTATGCTTTAACATTCTAGATGTGTCCATAACTCGTTGAGTTCTTTCAACATAACCAAGTCGGCCCATATAAAGTAATGAAGCCCAAGTCAATGCAATTAGAAGTCCAGGACGGGAACCATCCAATGTAGCAGAAGTGTAAATACCGCCTGGCCAATCAACATTAGAATAGCTTTGACATTGGAGTAATTCTTGGTCTCGGTAAAGAACGGCACTTGATCCAACAGGACAATAGCCATACTACAAAAAATATAATGAATGAAAGAATAAATCAAAAAGGGCATAATGTATTAGAACGTTTTGTTTAAATAAAAATCATAGAATACGCTACTACGTTATTTCTAAATAATAGAAAATTGATCTTTTTGAATCAAATAATTTTTTGTAGGAAATTTATAAAAAGATAATTTTCAATCACAATTAACAAATTTAAAGTTTTACCTTATGTAAATCAAAATTTATTGAGGAAACACCAGAAATTCGAAAATCAAACATTGGAGCAGGATAATCACATTGTTCCAGGAAAGGAATTATAAAACCTCCAATTGTTGCGTCTACATGGACTGGCACTCCAAAGCGGACTCCCAACTAAAAAATAAGAGAATATTTTCTTAAATCAAATATAAAAATGCCTGAGCAATTTCTTCTATATTATCCATAACACCGTTAACATAAGAAGGGGCACTTGCAACAATCTGAGGAAATAAATAAAGTACAAAAAATATTTTTAAAAAACCATGCAAGTCTCGTGGCCAATTGCTCTCTTAATTGACCCAACATTTGCTTCACATTTACTTCCTTGTCTGACACGAACTGCTCGCATTCTTTAAGGACATAAATTAAACAATTCACTTTTATAAATTACCCCAATAATTTAGCCGCTTTAAAGAATGCAATATGTGCATTTGGACAAACAATCATTTCTGGTTTTCGAATTCCTTTTTTATAAGCACTGTTGCGGTAAGCTGGATAATAAATAAATTAGAGATTATATACCAAATCAAAGTTATGCACCTAGGCAGGCAAGAATGATTGATTCAGAACCTGTCATTTGAAAAAAAAGAATTATTTTAAAACCCCCACAAAAATATTACCGCTCGTTGTTAAAACACCACAACTCTTATCCAATCCATGAAAAAGGCTGCAAAGAATTCTTATACATTCAGCTTCCATTTTTCGAGCAGAAGGAAATACTTCGGGAAATGCAACATTTGTGAATGAGTAAAGCTCAAAAATCTGGAAAAACAAAGTTTTAATTACAGTTCGGAAAGTTATCTCAAATTGGAATGGTCCATAACAGAATATTGAGTCCTGTCCTTAACAAACGATTAAAAAATTCTAATTGTAAGTGTCACTGTGGGTAAGAGGATTTTTTTAAATTCTTCACTGTTAAAATCACTAAACGTATTTTACTTGTTTTAATAGTCGCTGATAATTCCCATCCTCATCTTCAATCCCAAACATTGAACCGCACAAATGTCCACGTTCAAACAAAATTCCGCCCATCGTTTTGTAGGATGTCGCCTCACGAATAATGTCATCAGCTGGCAACCCTCGGTCCGGCAAATATTTATAAAATTCTTTAAGTCTATCAGCTCTATGTATTCTATCTTAAAATGAAAAAATAAATAAGTTTATTTGAAAAATATTTTATACCTTCAAATTCCTTGTATGTAAGTTCTTGTCCCTCATCCAATTTCTTTCTATACATAGGCAAATTGTTCACCATTTCATGCCACTAAAAAGTTATGGGTTTGACTCGCCAAATTTAAAACACATACCGCCCTACGAAATGAGACAACCTCCTCAAACTTCAGTACTTTCCTCACCCATTGTACAAAAAGAAGCAAAGCCAAGGTGTACATAACAATCTGCCATTGTTCAAGATGGTCTAGTCGACGATTTCTAATAATATTTAAAAAATGTTATATGTAGTTCTAAACTCTAAATATTCAGCTGTATCAATCTGATCGACTATACTTCATAATACAAAAAATTCCTCATGCAGTTTAGGGATTTCGAAGATAATCTGATTTTACTTCTAAAATACTTACACGTTCAATCGTATCTCGTCCACCAAATGAGCTACAACCCGCCAAGGCGTTTGATCCAAATCCATGAGCAAATATATTAAATAACTTTACTTTTTGATAAAATAGAATAAATAAAAATATGTTATGATCGATCATTAGTCACAGAACATTTTTCAAAAAATCAAATAAATTAAGATCGTTTACGCATAACAGAAAATATATCTAGATATTGTTGGGCTGTATCAATAGCAGTATAATTATCTGGTTGAGAACATTGCTTCTGGAAAATTTCTGGGGTTTTTAAACCGTGGTCGGGAAAGAAAAGGTCAACAATTTCTTGTAAAAGTGATTGGCATTGCATGACAATATTGGAAGCGGCGTATTCAATTTCAACAATGGTGCCCTAAAATATTATTATGTTCAGCTAAAATTCAAATAATATAAACCTTCACAGAAGAGCCTAAAGTAACTGTCCCAACTCGAAGTCGAAAGTCTTTTAGATGGTACTCATTCCCAACAACTTCAAATTTTGCCGGTTCAACTTAATTTAAAAAAGAATAAAAATATTTGTATTTTAAAATTGTTTTGAAATAAAATGTTTATATTAATTGCTACATAACAGAAACCTGTTAGACCAGCACTTTGAAATTTATCTAGTTGTAGTTCAAAGCCTTTGTCAGCGGTAGCACGTGGTACTGCCGGGGATCGAGTTGTCGTTGGTCTTTCTGCGCTCCCAGTTTCAGACGACGGTCGAGAATCAGGCTTATTTGCATTTATGATGAAAGCACTGTCAGGGAAATTTGAATGATGAATAACGTAAAAACCGCTTATCTGAATAATATTTAAAATATTTTTTAAAATTTTAAAAATAACCAAAGCAGCAATGTGTTGTTGTGGCCGATACCAGATACAATTAACTCGAAAATGTTTGCTAGTTGATGGAGGCACGACAGAACCGGCTTGCTCGAATATTAATTCCTTAAGGTATCAAAAAATATTTTAAAAATATAAAAACAATGTTATCAAATAACTTACAATCGCTCGTTCTCCTTGATTTGTTTCGAAGACCCTGTAAAAAATACGCTCAAAAACTTTATGTTTAATAAAAATATATACCAAGCTACGCCCATTTTCGAAGAAGTGAAAGAAAATCAGAACTAATACAAGAACTGCAATATCTGTATAAATGTGATAAGTATCGACAAAAAATCTAATTTTGGTTAAAACCTCACACTTACAAGTCATTAAATAAAGAAAATTTATAAAAATTTGTCGGTCAAAAAAGTATAATATAACAAATCAAAAGATGGTTAATATGCTGTTTGAAATTCACCTCAAATGCAAATACAAAATTAAATTTTTTTAGAAATAAGTGAAGTCACAAACAGCATAAAACCAAAAAAGAACAATTTGAAAAAGCAAATATTTAAAAATTTAAAAAAAGCAATAAAGTTTTAAAAGAATGCCAAAAAATATATAATAAATTCTTTAAAACTCCCGTGTCAATTGCATGAAAAACATCAGCATAAAATTTTCAAATAATAATAAAATCGAGGATCATAAAATTGAGCCTAAATATAGTAATTGGATGTCGTTATAAATTAACAAAGCTAAAATCTACCAATTATTAAAGCAGATAACACCAACAAATTACCAAATATGAGTCTCACGAATTTCACTTATGACCATGTTCGCTTTGTTCAAAGCCTTTAAATTATAATTAATTAAAAAAATAAAGTCAAAAAATAACCTTAAGCATTTCGGCCGACTCCGCTCGTTTTTGAGCGATAGCATCACTCTCCGAAAGGAGAGTATTTAAGTCATCAGCATTATATAAACGTCGAACCAATTCACTTTGCAGATTTTCCTAAAGAAACAAAATTTGACGAAATAAAAAAAAAGAATTTTAGACCTTAACATTATTAACCAGAAAATTCATAATTGCTTTTGGCACTAAATCTTGAATGGATTTACGGACAATAATGAAATAGCCTTTGATTAAACGCTCTAAAATAAATAAAAAGTTAACAAATGAAAGATAAACAAACCAATAACAGCAATATCCCGCTTCTCTCTAACAGACAAAGGACGCCTAACTGTCTTATCAGTACGTGTCAAAACACCGTCAGCAGTTCCGTTTTCTCCTCCAAGATCCGAGTCTTCATCAGCCTGTTTTGAGTTGCGATTGAACCAATAATTTGGATGAAGTTTTTTGAGATTAACTTTGTTGTGAATGTCGGTATAAAACGCAGATTCACCAAAAACAGAAGACGGGCCGTTTGTACCATTTTCCAAATTAGGTAAAGAAGCTGAAGCAGTTTTTCCGTCAGCTTCGGATGCCGGCACCTTCTTCAAAATGGAAAATTATTTTAAAAAATATATTGAAAGTGACGGAAAAGCCAAAAGAAAATTAATACCTCAGTAATCATTGCCATAGATTCGTCAGAAGATGCTCCTTGTAAAGAATTTATAAGAGAAGCATCAGACGCAAATTCCGGATGTTTGGTATTAATGTAGGCCAATTGAATAGAAACGAGATTCGAAACAAACCTTTAAATTAATATATGTATAATGAAGTTAAAATAATGTTAAGAACTCTTTAGTTGGCGGAATTCGGTCGCTAAGAACATGGTTGATAACTTCATGAATTCGCTCATACAAAAACGGAAAACGCTGCATTTCTTGTTGAACTTCTAAACAAGGTGAGATTTTTAAAATAAGCATAAAAATAAATAAACCAATTCCACAATGCTGAACAATTCGAAGCATTTCCTCATAAACCAAGTCAACACAAGTGATTGCAGGCTCCTCAAGTCTCTCAATCTGCTTCTTAACCAACAATTCAAAGCTAACTTCGGGAATAAACAAAGACGGGCGTAAACCCTAAAAAATAATTATAAAATCACAAATTTAGACTACAGTGGCATTTCGAATTGCTGTCAAAACATCCAATTTGTTCAAATTCGCAAGAGGATCAAAATCTTCTAAAGCACGCGTAAATGTCTCATGAAAAATATAACAAATACGAGCACCACCACACAACTCTGTAGTCTCGATATTTCTCGCAGTCCCATCAATAGTCGAATTATAAGCAGTTGAGAAGTGAGTAATTATATTAAGCAGAGTACGATTATTGTCAACGACGGCCTCCCCAAAACCACGTAAAATTGTTTGGCAGTGCACAATTAAAGTGTTGATCTGAAAATGAGGAAAATTACAAAAATCAATCAAGTCAAAATACCCGAAGCTTCAACTGCGGAAGGCAGTCCCTGATGTGACTCTAAAGATTAATTTTAAAATCAAAAATATAACAAGAAAATAACCATGAGAAGACGATTAAGTGTTTTTGTCAGATAAGGAATTCCATTCATAGAAGCCAAAGTTGGATACTTTGTTTGCAAAAATTTCGATTCATCTTTAAGACAATCCTTGATTGATTTATTTGCAATAATGTCTGCTTGAGATCGGTTAACACTGAAAGAAAATAGATTACAGAAGCAAATAAGAATGTTAAAATCCTATCAACAAAAGAAGAAAATTTACATTCCGATAATTCCAAGCTTTACAGGTACCAATCTCCCTGTAAGCACGTCCATAGCATCAGTGCCTTGATCCATCAAATCAAGTTTTGTCAACAAAACGAGTGTTCGGTTTCCTACATTTTAGTTGAATTTAAATTTAAATTATTTTTATACCTTCCTTATCAACTTCTCTTGCAATTTTAAGAGACTCACTAGTTGCAAAATCTTGATTAGCCGGCATGACAGCGAGAATTATCGAATTTGGATTCGAGATAAAAGAAAAAAGCATTTTACGGATTTGAACCTGAAATGGGCAAATAAAATTTTCTAACATCAAATAAATTCAACCTCAATATCGGGCGGTTGATCGCCAACCGGAACTTTGGTAATACCAGGCAAATCGACAAGACTGAGATTGACGACATTTTGCGAATAGATTGTCAAAGTGATAGCAACAGGAGAGATGCCCTTATTGCTAAATAGGCAAAATTTTAAAATATATTTATGATAAAATATACCTTCCAGTCAACCGATCAGTCTCGCGTTCAATTTCCTCTCGAACTTCCTGAAAACATAGGAAATATTGTTAAAGTTCTCTGAGAAAAATAATAAATGATACATCAAAATTCGTATAAATAACGCCTGGCGCATGCCCAAATTCTGCCCAATCATCAATTGCCGGAGCTTAAAAAATAAGTATCTAAAGATGAAATACAAATTCAGATTACCTTTCTTCTGTTCGCGCAATGGACTTTTTAATGGTGAATGAGACAAATGAAGAATTAACGGTCGACGAGTAACAATTCCAACACCTCTCGGCAGAAAATCACGTCCAACAATTCCCTCAAGTGCTGAACTTTTTCCAGAACTCTAAATAAATAGCTATAAAAAGAAAGTGTTGAGTTCAACCTGTGACCCGATCACTACAATTTGAGGAAGCTCAACATCTGCTCCACGGCAGCCAATAGTCGCAAATACATCTAAAAATGAATGACTTTCCTTAAAAAACTTAACAACCTTGTAATTTGCTAATAACCGGAATAAGTGACTCCATTTGTATCAAATATAATAAGCAAGAAAGTTTTCTTTAAAATTTTCTAAAATTTAATTAATTTAATTTTAAAATTTGCTAATTAATAAATAACAAGGAGCAAATAAAAATCGAATTCTGGAACAAAGAAAAAATAGAAATTAACAATTTTAAGCCATTCGAGTCTAAGAAAAATAGACAAATTGAGTAAAACTTTCTCAAGGATTCTGATAATAAAAACAAAAAGAATTTACTGATTTACTAAACTAGATAAGAAAATAGAAATGTGGACTTAAATGAGAATGTTTATTGCAAAAAATTATTTTGTAAAAATATGGACGACCTTTTTAAATGTGAATAAATTAAAAATAAATTGCAGATGAGAAAGTAAATGTCTTTTATTTTCATTTTTTTAAACTAATGCACATTATTCAAAAAAAGGAATAAATGTGAACGATTGAATGAAAAGGAAGGGAATTGCACAAATTTTATGACCTATGAATAAACTTTAAACATTCTTTTGGCTAAAATTAACTTATTCTATTGACTTGGAAAGGAGCAAGAATAATCGTATCGGGCTAAAACGCGGAACGGACAAACCACAGACAGACAAAACGCGGTCGAACAAAACACGGTTTTCCAAAACACGAACTTACCAAAATCCTCGTTTTACCCCTCACCCACGAATATAATAGACAATTTTTTTATTTCTCCTTACTTCACAAAATTATTTATTTTTTTCTAACAATATTTAATTCATTTACGATATAAATAGTCAAAAAATCTTTTATTAATCCTATCAATTTTCCTTTCATCATATTTTATCCAAAAATTTATTCCAAATTCTTAATGGTGCTTTTCACGTCGCCATTTCTCATGTGCTTCTTTGGCATTAGCATAAACTAAGTAATAAATAGTTCCTGGCAAAGCCCACGTCCACCAATAACGGCCATGCTCTCTTATTGGCTAAATTTTAAAAGTTTAACACAAAAAACAACGAGATTATTAAAAAAAAAATTTTAATTAAGATTTTATGAACGTATAAGCTTAAGGACTCGAAAAATAAAGCTAGTGAATAGATGTATCATCTAACTATATACTACATAAGACAATCTAACAGATTTCTAAAATTCATCAGATATCCATTTCAATGAAGGCTTTTGGAATGCCTACTCCTAACTAAAATCAAAACTAGAAAATCTCTAACCTTCCAACAACCAATGAAGAATCCCTTCCAAGCTTTTTGCTCATTTGGTGCCAAAGCAATTCTATAGAAGCCATATGCCTGCAATTAAAAATTAATTTTATATTTAAATATATAAAAACCTTTGTGAATTTACCCAACTCCTGCCCAATACCACCGCCCATCCTAATATTTGTGAAGCGCATTTAAATAATTCTTTTAATTTTCAAGACTAATGATCCTAAATTTAGAAATTTAAAAATTATTTTCTATTTAAAATATAATAGAGAATATGAACAAATAACAAAAAAATCCTTCAATTATATATCAGATTATTTATCAATTTTCTCAAAAATTCAATTTAAAAATCAAAAAACAATTCAAAAATAAATTAAAATAAATCCAATCTTATCCCCACTTTTCAATTCCTACTTTACCCTTCAGAATTCTCTGTTATACATTTCCCTTCCAATTCAATTAATATATTTTCCGCATCCTTAAAAATAAATTTAAAAAATTTTAAATAATCTAAAAAATATTTACATCCAAAATTTCTTTCGAAAAACCAACAATTTGAGCAATACTTAATCCAAACGATTTTTGTGCAACTCCTTGCATTACTTGAAATAAAATAACCAATTTTCCATCCTCAACAAATGTGTCCATTCTACAATTTTTTACTTTTTCAGGATAGCGTTTTTCCAATTTTGAGATTTCGTGAAAATGAGTTGCAAATAAAGTAAAGCAATTTAAACGACAAATTATGTCTCTAAAAATTGAATCGTTAACGTTTTCAAATAAAAATATTTACTCAGAAATTGCCCATGCCAATCCAAAACCATCATAAGTACTTGTACCTCGTCCAAGTTCATCTATTAATATAAGAGAATTTGGTGTTGCTCGTTCCAAAATCGTTGCACAATCCATCATTTCTGCCATAAATCTATATTTTAATTGACGAATTATTGTCAATTTAAAATAAAAGAAAATTCACGTTGAAATCCCTTTGAATTGGAAATCACCCGCTCCAACTCTAAAAAACAAAATTTTGAACAGGCAAAATTTTTTATAGACCTTGTAAAAATTCCATCGACTATTGAAAAACTAGCCATCTCACAAGGCACAAAACACCCAATTTGACCAAGAAAAATGGTCAATGCTGCAGCCTTCAAATAAGTACTTTTTCCTCCCATATTTGCTCCTTTAAGACTTTATTAAAAAAGATAACTGCCTAGTAAAAACCTGTAAGTATCATAAAACTGGCAGAATTTTGCCCATCATTGTTTCGACCAAGTTGGACATCATTGGGTATATAATGCATATTTGGGAGCCGTTCAACTGTAGGGTGTCTACATTTACGTAAATCTAGCACACCCGTTCCTTAAGGATTAAATTACATAAATTATAAAAATTGTTTGAGCTATTTAATTGTATTTTCTAAAAACCTTTTTCAAGAATTTTTGGTCGAACATAAGGAGTTGCCGAGGTAGCAGTTACTATTGAAAATGCAGTTAAAACATCTAGAACACCAATACATTCATCAAATAATTTAAGTGCTGGTATATAACCCGCTGAAAAAATCAAATTAAAAAATCTCTTAAATTGTAAATAAACCGCAAGTTGAAATAACAATTTTCGTCAGTTCTTGTTGGCTTGATTCATAAGAAGAGAGTAATTCCAAATATTGTGTATTAAGTTGATCGAGTTTAGAGGTAGAAAAACGAACTCCTCCTCCTTTAGTGCTGTCGATAACACGAATGCCAGTGACAGAACGAAGTGAACCTTCTGACTAAAATTTTTTTTAGATATTTAAAAACCCCAAAAGTTAAATACGTACTTTCAGTGTGACTCGCAAGAAAAATCCTAATTCTGAGTTAGATTCCAGTTTTACTTCACATTTTGCATTATCTGCCATTTTTCTACGCAAATTTTGTGCTTCTTCATTCATTCCATCAATTTTCTTACTAATTTCTTGCAATTTTGGATCAATATTTGGTTGAATTCTGTGTTGCCCATTTTGTTCAAAATAATCGAAATCGAGTGTATTTTCAATTAATTGACCAAATCGGCGTAAATCAACAATGCTTTGTTGGACTTTTTCCTTTAAAAATCAATAAATGGATGAACAAATTTAGAGAAAACTAACTAAAATTAATTCGTTTATCGAAGCAAAAATCCTTTCAGTTACACTTGTTTGCACTGAAGACAATAAAGGGCTGATTCTTTTAATTAAAATAACCATTTGATAAAGTCTATAACAATCCTCAGAAAAAAATAATTATAAAAAATTTTTAAATTTAAAAATTAAATTACTGATAATGTTGCTTTCCCTTGTTCCAATTTTCGAGTTAAAAGTCCAATATCAGGCATGCGCCGAAGTAAATTTTCATGAAGAGATTGTCGTACAGCAGGGCATGAGCAAAAAGCTTCAACAATGTCGAGTCTCTGTTCAATTTGAGGAAGAGAAATAAGTGGATGACAAAGCCAATCACCTTGAAATAAATTTAAAAAAATATACAAACTGTAAAAACATACGAATTAAACGTTTCCCTGATGATGATCGGCAACGATTTAAATGATCGTGTAATGTAATAGAAGCACCGGCTTGATTACTTTCGGATCCAATAGAAAAAATATCCAAGGCCTGTTGAGCCGCAGTATCAATATTCATTAATTCGACAGAATCTTAAATATAAGTAATTAAATAGTTCATAAACAAATTCAGAAAACCGAATCCTTAGAAAATGCCGAATTTTGGGCGAAAATAGTGTATAAAACGAGGAGACAGGAGAATAGTTCGGTTAGGGACGATTCCGCGCCGACGTTTCCGTGCCAGGTCAGTTTTTTTTATCTAAGATTAGGTTGGCCCTAGTGATTGTCGCAATCAATGATGTTCTCGTCGAATGTTAAACTGAACTGACTACAGCGAAAAGATAAAATTTTAAAGAAAATACAAATGCAATGTTAAAGCATTTAGAGTAAAAAACTAAGAAAAAAGAAAATAAAGCAAAAAATTTATAACAGTAATAGATCAACAAAGACACCAAAAGTTTAAAGTAAACAAAATAAAATCAAAAAATAAAAGCAAAAAACTAAAAGCAACATAAATTCTTAAAATTAAATTAAAAATTGAAATTAAACCCAAAAGTTTCCTCATTCTGCGTATCCTTATTATGAGTTGTCTCTCCACGAGCTGGCGAATTAAAATTGAAACCAAAAGAAAAGTTTGAAGTCACACCGCCAGCTGGAATAATATCATCACCTTCTTCATTACCACCGGTTTGAAAGACATCAATTCCATTAAAATGCATCAAAAGATCATCATCTTGTTCAATCACATTATTAGCTTGCTCATCGTTTGTTCCAGTTTGTATAATATCCGTAACAGACTGAAAAAAGGAAGAAAATTAATTAGAAATTAAAAATAAAATCAAACTCTATTTGGAGTATTCCTGTGTTTTTCAATTGGATCTGGAGTAAATTTCGATCGTTGAGTAATTTTGGACAAATCAGCCGTTGCAGGCGATTGATTGATAAGCACAGGAGATTGATTAACAGCAATTGCAGGCGAACGGTTTGTAACAGCAGGAGAATGGTTTACAACACGTTCAACATTAGATTCTGGAGCCTTCTCAACAACTTCCTGAACATTAACAACATCAATTTCCTCGTCTTGATTAATCCCTGATTTTTGAATCGCCTCATGCTCCAATCTTTTTGTCTTTTCCAAAAGCTGCAAATAAAATAAAAGATATGTCTTCGCTTTTTTATAAAATCATACCGTTTCCTGAATTTTCAGCTCATTCTTCATTGCATTATCCATTTGTCTCGTCTTATGCAAATAATTCGCCAAAGTAACACAAAAATTTTTGAATGGAAGCTGCTTGTGTTTTGCCAATAAATCCTCGCGTTCAGAAATAAGTCCATCAGTACGAGAAATTTCATTTTACAGACGAGCAAGTTCATTTTCGTGATGTTTTAATTCTCCCAAAATTGCCTGTTTTTCAGGAAGCCATGGAGCGCGAGCCCTTTGACTACGAAAATCTTCCTTGATCAAATCCAATTCACAAACTTCCGAGGACAGATCAGCCTGAAATTATAAATAAAACAAGATTAACCTCAAATACTAACCGCACTAGTACTCTCAACAAGCTTTTTAAATTCGCCCATAACAGTCCGCTTTCGTTTCAGCTCTGTTTCAACGCTAGAAAAGTTTTGAAGCTTAAATCTAATTCAAAAATCATACTTATGTTCATGACACACAGCATAATAACGAGCTTTCTCCAAAACTTCAATTTGTTTCTTTTGAGCTTCCATTTTGTCCTTCTCCTCTTTTCTTGAAACACGAAGCTGTTCCAATTTCTCGCTCATTTCTTAAAAAAGTCGGATTAGTTAAGTGCAGAAAACAATCTTTTTACTCTGTTCAACAATAGTTGCAAATGAAATTTTGGCACGCAAAACCTCCTCATTTTCAACTGAAAATATATTCAGAAAAAAATCATATTCGAACAAAAATTACCCAAGTTTTGAATCGTTTTGACAATCTCCTCACCCTCACTTTGATCTTGACTCATTTTCTTATTAAAAGTTGCAATTAAATTTAATAAACACCTTAAAATTATCAAAAAAAAATCGGAAGTATTTGAACAAAAAGTTTAACGCCTAACGAAAAAATAAAACAAAAAATTACAAAAAACCAAAACTATTTTAAGACAAGCTGACTGTTCGCCAACGGACATTCTGCCAGAGAACAATTCGTCAACGGACAATTCGCCAAAATTTTTTGTCAAAATTAGAAAGGTAAAATTGAAGGAAATAACCCTTTTAATTCTCGAATGTTTTTAACGAGCGAAAAATTTTTATTCAAAAGATTAAACGTTAAGAAATAATATAAAGAGTTGAATTACTGAGGCATCAGTGTAATTTATATTTTCCTTTTTAGAAATTTTTACAAATTAAAAAAATTATTGCACTGACCCCGTTGGCTAGGATATCGCTTATGAACATTCACTAAAATCAGTTGTCATTTCAACTTTCTAGATCAAATATAGTTTCCAGCAGACTAGCTTGTGGATACGGACTTTGGTATCCGTTATTCGGGTATATACGGCGGAAACCCTCAGGCATCTTAATGAGCGGGTCTGCCCAGGACTTATTTTTTACAGCCTAAAAATCCAATCCTTACTAATATATTTCCAATTAAATTTTCAAAAAATTAAATAAAAAACTTTTATTTAAAAAAATATAATTAGGTATGTTTGTTTAATTTATCACATTACATAATAATTATGCAAAAAAATATGAGATAAAACCTAATTTTAGTACAAATTTTCAAGTAAAATTTAAAAATTTCTGAGCAAAATATTTTTTGTTTTTTTTCTTTTTAATTTATAAAAAGCTCATTGAAGTTCCATTAAATCCAATATTATTTTGATTATTAATATCTCCTCCTCCTCCTTTTCTTTTAAAACATCGTAAATAATAAAATAATAAGGCTCTGTATCTCTCAGAAAATATACAATAAATACAAATATTAATGCTTGCATTACACAAAACAAGCCAATTAGACCAAGGAACTAATCGAATATACAATAATCCTTGAAAATCTAATTTTTCTAATAAATTGACTGCAAATGCCTAGAAAAATAAAATTAAAATATTTTCCAAAAAATTATTTTTTTTTACCAAAGTATTGCAAAGAAGAAATGCTATAACAATGGCAACAAGCTGAAAAAGAAAATTAAAAATTTTAAAAAAATTAATATTTAATTACCATTATAGAAGTACTTATTTCTTTAGCTAATTCTTGTTTTCTAGCACCATTTCCTTCACGTACATTTAATTTGGCATGGATTTTTCGAGATCTGAAAAAATAATTAAAATTTAATAAAAAATTTTTGTTTTTAATATTTTAAGGAGATAAAATTACACAAAAATTTGTAAAGTTTATTACAAGAAAATAATTAAACTTTAGAGAAAGAAAATGCAATTTAATTATTCACAAATTAAATTGTTTAATTTGAGGGACCCATTGAAAAATATAAGCCCAGGGATTATATTTACGGTATTTTCGAATATTTATTTTTTACTCACTTGTGAATAGCTCCAATAACCATTGAATTAACGGCAATTAAAACAGTAAAAGGAACAACAAACATAATCTTTTAAAAATTTTTATTAAAAAATAAAATTTATTTTACCAAAGTATATGCCCATTCATAAAATAATTTTCGATATAATTCATTTTGTCTTAATGCAGTCATTCTAAGAACGGGTAATTCAACGCCTATTGGCTCCATCCAACAAACTTCGAATGTTACCTTAAAAATATTTTTTGAATTAAAAATTTTAATTAAAAAAAATTTTTTTACTTCAAAAAATCGGAATATATTAAATAAAACAGCAGTTAGAATAACTCCTCCAATAATTCCTTTTACATTTCTTGCAGTTAAAACACGTCCGGATTGATAAGGAAAACATACTCCAATAAATCTGTGTAAAGACATTGCTACTGTCATCCAAACACTTCAAAAAATTTTAATTAAAAAATAAAAATATATTTATTTACCTTATAGTTTGTGCCATTGTCATAAGTGCATAGAAAACGGGGGTAACATAATAACTGAAAAAGGAGCAAAATAAATTTGGTATTTACATATCAGGGCATTTCGGAAATTCTTTTGGCTGAGATGATTTTTGAGAGAGAAACTAGGAAAAAAATCGCAACTACATTGAGATTAGGACAGATGAACGAATCAAGTCTATGAACGAATCAAGTACATTCAATGTGTGCCAATACGACAAAGAGATTACAATTAGTGTTGAATCTTAACCTCTTAGATTTTTTAGGTCTCGGAGTATTGGAAAATTAGTCAAAAATAAGATGGAGATTATAGTACATCTCATTTTAGTTTAGAATTTTTTGAGCCTCAAGGGTATAGAGTATAATGAGATCCAACACTGTATAGGGAAATCTTTACCGAGTGTATACAGGATAAAAACTTAATTAATCTACATATTTATTTAATATATTACTGGCCTTATTGCTGTGCCTGTCCACCAAACAAGTATTTCACTTAATCGAGGTAATGTTAGAACAGAAAAAGCACCCAATAAAATAACAAAATCGCTTGTCCCTTTAAATAAATTTTAAAAAAATTAATTTTTAATTAATTTAGAATATACCAAGAACGAGTAAGTACCAATTAACAGATTGTTTTCGCATATGTCTATTAGAAAAAATTAATATAGACATTCCATTGGCAAGTAATCCACAAAGAATAAATGGGAGAGCAAAAACACCCAAAAGCCATTTTCTATTTAAATTAAATTAAAATATAAATTGTGAAATAATTTTTGAAATTAAAACGAGCTACGAAATTTTGTTTATTAGTGTTCTGTTATGTAATTAAATTTTAGAAGACTGTCCTCAAATGAAACACAGACATGCCAAAATCCCTCTCTAAAAATTCCATAGACGCTAAACTTGGATAATGGATTCCTACTTATTTCCTGCCTAGATTCCCTCCTTGCCGGTTAGGTTATTTTTGTTTTATTTTAAGGCTATTTTAATTGAGATTAAATATGTATATTTTCTCACTCTGTAGATTCATAATAATCATAACGTTCAATACAAACAGGGGAAGGATTAATTGTTGTTGTTGTTGTATTATTATTATTAAATTGTTTAGATTCCCAATTATCAACATTAACTATATCATTAACAACAATTGAAGAGGAAGGGATTTGTTCTTCATCAAATAAAGAGGAAAATATGTTGTTGGTTAAATTGTAAGGCGGTGAATGCATTTTTTAAGAAAATTTAATTTAATTAATTTCTAAAAAAATTTTTTAAATGAAAATAATTTTAAAATTATTAAAGAAAAAAAAATAAATGGAAACAAGACTAAAATTAAGAAGTTTTCGTTTTTTTTCTTTTGGAAACTAATTTAACAACCAATTTAATTCTTTAAAAGTTAGAAAGTTTTTGATTATCCTAATTTCAGAGATAATCAAAGTTTGTCCAATAACGAGATTTCAAAATTAAAGGATTTTTGTTGATGTGACGGTTTTTTTTGAGAAAGTGACGGTCCAAAAATTAAGAAAAAAATCTAAAAACTCATAAAAATTCACCCTTCGATGAATTGTAGGCTTTAAAGAATTTTAAAAATATTTTGGAAATTTAACTAAAAAAGTTTCTAAAAATGTTTTTATTTATTTAATACCCAAATATCTAAAACTTTTTATTTTATATATCCATTTTTATGTTTTTAATTTAAAAAAGAAAAGTATCAATTTCAAAAACTTTTTTATTAAATAAAATACTTTGTCTATTTTTAACTAAATTAAATCTAAAAATGGATATTTATATAGAGAGAGGTTATTTTATTTTTTTACTCAGAGATTTTTGGAAGTTTATTTTTATAGCTTTTTTTCTAAAAATCCCTAATGAGTAATTTAAATTAAATAAAAAATTGTGGGTGTTTAAAATACATATAATTGAGGAGAATAGGTTAAAAACCTTGAAAATGAGAAACTGAAAAAAAATATTTAAAATAAAATTCTTGTAAAATTAAATAATTTTTGGTTAATTAACAGACTAAATAATCTAAAAAATAAGAAAAAATATTTTTTATTATTATTTGGGAAATAAAATAATTTTTTGGATTAAAGTCACGAGAAATAAGATAATTTGTTTTTTATTTACTAAATTAAATTTTTTAAAATTTTTATAAAAAATTGGGAAAAGGCTTAAATCCATTAATCTAAACGTAGTTAAGTTTAAATGGCAATAATGCTTTAGATAAATTCATAAATATTAAAGGATTAAATAAAAAATTGAATAAGTTTAGAAAGGATAAATTTTTAAGAAGTTTATTTACTGATAAACATCTCGAATCATTTATAAAACATTAAAATAAATAAAATATAAAAAATAAAATTAAATTTTAATTTAATTATATTTTGAAGAATTCCAATAATTGAAAACAAACTTTTAGAAAAATTAAATTAAAAAGGTTTAATAAATAAATAAAAGAAGGATTTTTTAAGGAAAAATAAAATAAATAAATAAATATTTTATTTGTACTTTTTTGTTCAAGAAAAAGTAACATTTAAAAAATTCTTCTTCAAAAAAAATTCTATCCAATCAACGTTGTTAACCACAAAAATGAATTTAATAATAATTATTTTTTAAAAATGATTGATAAGTAATTTTAAATAAAAAAAGAACAAAAAGAATTGTCAAAAACGAACATTTATTTAGGAAAAACTTGTGGCTTTTTTGTTGAAAAAAAGAAGATTTTTTTGTTTAAAATTAAAATTAAAAATATAGTTTTGATGAGTTATAGATTTTTAAAAATAAAACTCTAAATTAAGTTTTAAAAAGACAAGATACATAATTGAAATTGTCAAAAAAAGTATTTGGGAATTAAAAGTAAATATTTATTTTTAATAAAATATTTTGAAAGAATTATTTTGATATTCCTTCTAAATTCTTTGTAAACATTCCACACTTTTAAGGGAGGATAAGGATGATCACTTAAGGATGACTTAAGATTTAAAACATAAAACTCGACTCTAAATATATTTAATACTCTTGGGGCCATTCCGGATATACTTATTATCTGGCCATTCACTTATATTTAAAGAGAAATGTTCACTTTATTATAACAAGAGTTAACTGTAAAAACAACAAAAAAATAAATCTCTTTTTGTGGTTATATGTGAAAAGCAAATATTTAATTTAATTATTTCTCAAGTCTTTAAATAACTAATTTAGCTATAATTAACTAAAGATAGAAAAAAGAGGGGGAGGAAGGAGGTAATTGAGAGAGTGAAAATAATATTTTTAGATTAAACGTCATTAAAAGAAAATCGAGGATAAAATTTAAAAAAAACATATGTTTTTTGAAATAAGTATATTAATTAATTAATAGATTATTTTTTGTTATGGGAAATTAAAAAAGAACTACAAAAATATTTAAATGAAATTAAAACACGGAAATAAAAAATATTAAATAAAAAAAGATTTTTAATCCAAAATTATATTTCTTAGAAAATGATCGTATTAAAATAAAAATTTAAATACAAAAACAAAATTTTTTTAATTTAGTAAAGATAAAGGCTTTCTGAATAAGATTATTAATATGTCCTTAACTAATTTTCATATATTAGTATGTATAGTATAATAAATTAACAAGCTGGATATATAGTTAAGAATTCAAAACCAAAAATTTTTATGTTATCACACAGAGGATAGTTGATTCTTATAAACAATTTTTGGAGTATTTTTGGCATGGTATGAAAATTAAAATTTAATAAACACTTAATCACTTTAAAGTTTAGGATTTAAGACACACATTTCGTAAGTGATTTTAGTAGTTGCGTTTTAATAAATATAAGAAAATAATTTAAATAAATAAAAATTTAGAAAAAAATCTTAAATAAATTGTCAACTCAATAAAAAATAAAAAAGGTAATTTTAAATAATTTTAAAATAAATAGTATATTCTGTTTTTGTAAGGTTACACACCTTAAATTAATATTTTCCAATTAAAAATTATAAATTAATTTATTAAATTAAAAATTAAAAAAATTTTGAAATATTTTTAGAAAATAAAGGAATAAATCACAAATCGATTGGTCTACTATATTTTTTAAAATGATATTGGTCTTCTTTATCCTTTAAAATTTAATTGGCTAAATAATCCTTCACTAATTTAGTAATTATATATTTTTTTAGTTTTTAACGCTTTTTTTCTTTTATATTTTTTGTTGATTTTAAAAAAGAAAAAGAAAATGATCAAACGAAAAAAGAGTTAAAGGAGGGACAGTTGTTGTTAAATATCTTTTTAAATAAAAATAGATAATTAAGAAGGATTAGAAAAAAGATGATGATGAGGGATTTAAATATATATGTATGTAGGAAGTTGAAGTTGTAGAAAGGAAGTTTAAACTCTTAAAGGGTCCAAAACTCTAAAAGGAAAACGGAAATGAAGGTTTACAGATTTAATCAACTTCGAGAGGACATTATTCAAAGTAAAATCTAGATGATGTCGATAGCGAAAATTGAGTGGTTTGCCTAGCTGAAAATTTTTCACTATCAGTTAATTTACTGATTATAGATTCGAATCCTATTTATTTTCAAATTTTCATTAAAAGTATTCAAATCTTTTATTTAGGTAATTGTTTTTATAATCTACTTAATTCACTTTCTCTCTCACATTATCTCTAATAAATAAACAATAATAGATTTTATTATTGTCTTTATTGTTTTCTGCCCATCAATCTTTTGACAAAACCAAAAAGATTTAAAGGAACAGGTGTTGAAAATTAGAAAAAAAAGTTTTTCTAAGATTTTTTAATTTTCAAAAAAAGGGAATTAATTTATTTGTCTGTTTGGATTTTATTTTAATTAAAAGTAGTTAAAAAGTAGTTAATTTCTCTTAGTAATTCAAAAAAAAAATCTGTGATTAATTTAAAGTTTATTTAAGTAAAATATATTGGTTTTAATGGTTTTTGTCTGATTTTTAAACTTTTAATTAAAAATTTAAAGGAAAAAAGAATGTTAAATCAGGGAAGGAGTACAGAAATGGATAGGTGGGAGGGGGGGTAGGAATGGATGATTTTTAGGTAAAAATCGAAAAAAATCGAAACGTTTTCTACAAGAAAAAAGTTAGGCTGATATCAATCTCTTGGAGGATATAAAGTTTAAAATAATAATTTGTAGATTTTACTGAGAATGTTGGAAAATAACTTGAAACTCTCAGAATAAATCACTGAGAAAAAAATTTTTAAAACAAAAAAATATTCAAAGTTAATAAACATTTTTATTTATTTATTTACACTTCCTCTAAAGGAGCTTTTGAACATTTTATTAAAAAAAAGAAAGGTCATTTAAATTTGTTTTTCAAAATTGTTTAAAAAACAAAGAAAAACGAGAATGATCATTCCTTTGGGGATTTGAAAAATTTTTTTTGTTTTTCTTCTTTTTTGTTTTGATATAAAATAAATATTTAGTTGTTTATGACTTTTATTTAAGTCCAAAATAAAAATATAGGAAAAATATTTTTATATTGTAGAGAATATTTTACAAATTCGCCCACACAGAAAAAGGAGAAATAAAAAAGGATATTTGGCTATTTTGTTTGATAATTTTATATTAGCCTTTATTTACTTTTATTTTTTTTGAATTTAAATAAATATTGTTTTTTTTAAAAAAGAGATATTTTTTTTGAAATACGAAAATTGACTCTATTAATTATTACTAGAGGAACTATTCTAAATTAACATGATCTAAACATATTTGAAAACGGTTTTAAGCTTAAAAAACAGTTTTTTATTGAAAAAATTAGACAAATACTAGGTAGAGGCTGTCTAATATTTAAATAAAATTTAGGATTCTTATAATCATTCATTCCTGTCTTTTTGTGTTATTACAAAAAAGATAATTACTTATTAATTTTAATATTTAATATACATAAGTACATATTTTATTGTTCCTATAATCATTTGTTAAATTCAATAGAGGATTATTTTTTTAAAAAACAAAAAGTAAATATTAATTATAAAAATACTTAAAATAATGGAGTAAAAAATAAATTTAAATTAATGCAAAAACTAAAAGAAATACATACATATTCATTTATTTTTTTTATTTTTATTTTTAAATATTTTTTAATTTTTAAAACAATTTTAAAAAACTCAACTTGTGTGGTTTAAATATTTGCAAAGAAAAAAAAGTGGAAATTGGACCCTGGTGGATATGTTCTCGGCTTTTCTTTTTTTGCTATTTTTGTAAACTCCTCA